ACAAGCATGGATCTATGTAGAAACTGAAACTGAATCGATCGGTATAGTAAAAGGGGGGGTCTACCTCAAGTCTTTCTGCGTGTTCCATGCATTCGCACAATCTTAATGCATCCTTTTATCACAAGTGATAATATTTTTAATTTATTAATTGTATAAACTAAAATTAAAATTCTTTTCGTTTTTTTTTTTTGAGCAAACAATGAGCGAAATGATGATATGAATGTTTGACAGAAATCGCCACAACATAATGTAAAATAATTGCAAAGTATTTTGTTGAGTTTCTATCAACCGGTTAACCGGAGAATAATCTTCGCCTTTTAAATTGCAAGAGAAATGTCGATAGAAAGTCTCCGAATAGTTCCTATTAGAAATTATGGGTTAAAATAGTTTCCTTTTTCTAATGTTGTTTGGGTGCAGATCAACTTAAAACATATACGATACGATATATGGAAAAAGGTAAGGTATTGTGAGGGTCACCTAAAAAAAGGCCTTTTGTTCGTGAAAGGCTTGTCTTCTACTTTTTCAAAATTGCGAACGTGAGAATATTGATTATCGCTTTACAGTTATGTCTAGACTGAAGAAGAATGATTGAATGAAAAGTAACATATATACTAACAATTGTGATGGCTGTGATAGCTACTTTTCCGCTAGACAATATCTTACATTATTATTTGTTGACACCTTAACTGATTTTAATGCCTGGCATATTTCACACACTCACTTGCCGTATAATTGTTTGCTGCCATTGCTTTATAGAGAAAAATAAAATTTCAAGATATTGAGCAAAAAAAAAAAAGAAAAAAAAAAAGAAAAGAAAAGATATCTAAATAAAGTCTCGTTTTCAAAGTCCGTGCACATTAAATTGTCAATGTGTCAAAACTTTTGATTTATAAATGTTTTGATAAAATTTTTTAATTTTTATTTTTGTTTTCAAGTTAAAAAAAAAAAATAAATAAATATCTAAACCAAATAAATTGCACTCAATCATTGCCTTCTGTAATCTTTCTGAATAGTCGTTACTGACGACATGAAGCATAAGCCATATAAAAACCACTTTATTTATCAGTCTCTTTCAGAAATTATTTTAAAATTCTTTTGTAATATTTATTTGCGATATCATTTACATATACGTGTGCGTACCCTATTCGGCAAATTCGCGATGCAAACGATTACTTTATATGCTAGCATAGGTTGGCTGCATACTAAGTACCTAAAATGATAATCTTATTGGATTTTATTAACTTTGAAAGGGCGATCATTCAACTGTGTGATTGAAAGGATGTTCTCATTACGTTCGCTTTAAAAAACCGCAGCTAAAAAACTCAGCAGTAAAGGATTGGAAGATATCTCTTACTTCTGTTTCTGTTGTGTTGTTTTTGGTTTAGAGCCTTAGAGCTAATACGGAGGCAGTAGATTACGTCATTAGAAGAAAGAATGTAGTGTTGTGCACTGGAACTTGGAAATTTTTTCGAGTGCATTTAACATAATCTCCGCTTATTAAATTTGAGGCCCATGTAAAAAGTAACAATGTAGACGCTAACCTGTGATGATGTCATTTCGCTGAGCAAAACAATTCTGCTGTACATGTTCTGTTATCGTATCTCATCCTTTTAGTTTATTCACAAGTTGGCAAAGTATAACATGTGTTTCGCTCTTTTGCATAAATCAAGTGCAGAAGTTCAAAATCTCTTGTCTTGCAGGCAGAGTGTAGGAGGTGCAATAAAACATTGCTACCTTTTCTTCTTAGGCTATTTACAAGTCTTGCATGCCATCTCAATTTATCTACGTAGAAGGTATGACTTACTCGTCTCAGCACTACAACTGCATAAAGGCAAGAATTTTCTGCTATGTGTTTTATAACTGACAACCGATCACAACTATGGTCATATTTATTTGATCGATTTGTGCTATAACGGCATAAATACATGTCTCAACATATAGAATACGATTTTAAAATTCTCCCTATGACGCACAGTTGCTATCGAATACTTAAAAAAAACAATTGTGTTCTGTCTGTCTATTCTTGATTTGCCCACGATATGGTTGTATTCAATTTTCCTTTATCGTAACATCAATATACGATTGGCTATACATTGTGAGGACTCAAGCCCGTGCCTAATTTTAAGCTCGTATATCCTTCGTTTAGAACGCGAGCTAGACTAATTTAGGCTAAGGATAATAGTGTTCGCTGTATATTATGTACGGTATATATGTGTGTTTATGTGTTAGATGTATAGGTATGTATACATATCATATCTGTACGTTTGGACAGATAAAGACTTTAGTTTACAATTTTTTTCTTAGTAGTTTCGTGTTCAACCTATTTATCCGAGCCCCCAACCCGTTCTATTAGAGCGTTCACGGCATTTAAATTCTTCGTTAAAGTTCACCTTCTTAACTATATACTGAGCTGAAGTTTACCTATCATGCTTGAAATGGTTATGCATTTCTATAATCAGTTTTCCTTTCTCGTCTTTGATTTATTTTAAAATAAGAATTTTTTTCTGCGTTTTACCGGCAAACACTTATTATTATTACGCATTGTGTCGATTATGAAAAGCAAAAGCGAAAATGATTCATCCATTGGGCTATAATCTATTGAAAGCTGGCTTTGTTTAGAAACATGTGAAATTTTGTCGCTTTGTGTAACCAATTTTTTATACATTTGTGGTTTCAATATTTCAAGAGCTTTTTAACCCACTTAGCACGTGCTTAAAATACTACATATTGAATATATTAATTGCTTTTAAACCGAAAAATATTTCCTAGTGTTTATTATAGGTATTATTGCTTTAATTGCTTTTACTTACAAACTTAATATATAAACTGATATTGGCTTGAGGCGAATCTTTTGTTACCCACCCTTTAAGTCAATAGACTAGAATTATAGATTATTATCTCATATGGGCCCGTCTCAGTTGGTATCAGGTTTCGTATCTAAACGCTTAGATGCCGTCAATTACACTTTTTCCCACATAGGATGTCCTTTGTAAACGTTTTAGCTGAGTTTTAAATCAATGCTTAACGTAGGTTAGAAGATATGGTTGTTACATCCGAAACCACTTGTGGTTTAAGAGTATGTTAAGTTTGTGCAGCACCCAAAAGGACTTGACGCCACTTTTTCTTATACCGATCTAACCTTGTCTGTCCGTTTGGATATCTCATGTACAACCAATAGGTAACAATTTTTAAGATATTTTTGTGAAAGTATGTACATGTTTTGGCTCAAGAATGAAAGCTATTGAAATTGATTCGAATCGGATCCTATTTTTTGACTACTCCGTTATATGAATAACATAGCATTGAACGAAGTGATGTAGGATGTTTAATGGTGGTAATGTAATATTTCTACCTATTTTGTTTATGGCAGGCGTGGTTAAGGACTGCAACATATTTGTAAACTTTATTCCTAACCATTAGCTAAGAATATATATGTCAACATTCAATTTTCTGTCGCAAGTTTTCTGATCGTCAGCAGTTGAACATCGGAATGATAGATGGACGGATCAATTGAATGCGAATCTTAAGATAATCAAGAACAATAGTCTTCGATGAATTTCTAGAAGTTACAACAAGACAACAAAAGCTTAAGTTGCCAAAGATTCGCGATTTTGTTAATTCATTCTTTAAAGAAGGGTGCAATGCGTTGGCCTTATAAACTTAAATTTAGGATTCCCTGTTCAGTCCATTGCTATTATTATCGCTGCCTCATAAATCTAATACTTTGTTGCATCGAAATACGTCTCTGAACCAGTCTGTGATAATAATTGCAAAAAAAAAAATAAATAAATAAATAAAAAAAAATAGTAGCAATTAAAATCTCATATTACAACCTGTAATTTTTTACAACTACAAATTACTTGGTATTAACCTTGCACAGCCTTCGTAAGCAAGTTTTTTTTATATTCGCATGAAATGAATAGTGGTTAGTGGCCACGTCATCAAAAAACAAATTTATGATTTTATTAAAAATAATTTATTAATCGTTTTGCCTTTGCGTAAGTTGAGTTCGCATGGATGCGTGTGCGTAAGTTTATAAATGCATTAATGACCGCAAATTGTTAATGTCGTTAAGTTCATGGAAGGAGAACATCTTTGTTTTCTCAATATTTTAGTATGAAACATTAGTGCATTAGTGCAACTTGTGGCCCTCACACACATGTATATGTGTATATTAATCTTTTTTGAAATATATAATGTAAATATCAATCAATCACAGATTCCGTGAAGTAATAAAGCGCTGAGAATACAATCAATGCATTTATATCGTGCATTATGCAAATTTTTTTATTTCACTTTTATTTCAGCAAAGTAATGCAATGCAAATTGACATTCAATAAGTTCGTAGGATGACATGTAGACATATCGCCAATGTTCACGAACTCATATGATTTTTAGATAGTGCTAGCTTTCAAATAAACTTGTATCAAAATTTCGTGACGTTCCAACCATCAGACTACAAGTTATAATTTGTTGTTTGATGGCGCTAATTTTGTTTTTGTAGAGCAATCCAAAAATCTGCATTTTCAGCGTAGCGTCACTAAAAGCTAATGTTAAACATTTGAAAGTTAGTATTATCTACAAATCAAATGGATTCGTCATTGACCATCTCATATCTGTATGTCATCCTGCGAACTTATTGAGTGAAGTATTGTCCTCAACTACGTATTAAACGCAAAATAGAAAGATTTTTAGAATGTGTCAGACAAGTGGGAGTAAGTGATGATCAATACTTTGAATGAAATTTTTTTTTTTCGTTCTCATACAATGAGTTCATATTTTTCATGCAAATATTCCGGTCTCATATTTACATATCTACGCAGTGTTGGCAAAAATTTGAAATTGAATTTACTCTATCTTTACTCGATCTCTATCTTACTGTACTAACAAATTTAGTTCCATTGAAAGCAAACTTCATTAATATTACATACGTAGACTATTCTAAGCTAACCGAGCATAGTATTATATGTAATTGCAAAAAAAAATGATTTTATTTTTAGGTCCTGATAAATGGTTTATGGAATTTCCTCAGGCAACCGGCATGAGGCAATCTCCGGTTGATATTAATACCGGAATTTGTAAAAGAGGACGGGAATTACCTCCATTGAAATGGCGCTATGTACCCGAGCACACGAAAAGTCTGGTTAATCCCGGCTATTGCTGGCGCGTAGATGTTGATGGCACACAGTCGCAATTAACCGGCGGTCCTTTATTCGATAACGTATATAAATTGGAGCAATTTCATTGTCATTGGGGTTGTGAAAATGGGAAGGGATCTGAACATACCGTGGATGGCGTTTCGTATGCGGGCGAGTTGCATTTGGTTCATTGGAATACAAGCAAATATAATAGTTTCAGTGAGGCAGCTTCCGCCCCTGACGGTTTAGCTGTCCTGGGAGTATTCCTAACAGTAAGTTGTTTGTAAAATCCTTGACGACAATTTCTGCAAGAAATTAAACTATGTTTTTCTTTTTACAGCCTGGCGAACATAATTCTGAAATGAACAGGATCACTGATCTTTTGCGATTCATAAAACACAAAGGTGATCGCGTCACTCTTCCTTACGGTTGTGATCCTGCTAAATTATTACCATCGGTGACTACCTATTGGACATATGAAGGCTCGTTGACGACACCGCCATGCTCGGAATGTGTAATCTGGATTGTTTTCAAAACGCCTATTGAAGTTTCTAACGATCAATTAGAAGCAATGCGTGATCTTAACTGTTATGACGTTAAGGAAGAATGTCCCTGCAACGAATTAAATGGGAAAGTAATTAATAATTTTCGTCCGCCTTTGCCGTTAGGCAATCGCGAATTACGTGAATTTGGTGAGCATTAACTGATAATGTTCCCTTGCTCCTATGGTTTTTGAGAGTAAATTGTGAAGTTTTTTTCTTTGCTGATATTGGAAATTTTATAGATTATCGATTTTATGTATATGTTTAGCGTCTAATGCAATTTGTTACGCATGCACCCATTATATATTAATTATTTAGTCATTAATAAAATTAAATGTTTTTAAAATATCAGCGCCGATCTATCAGTTTTGACGCCTTCTGATGTACTTTTATTTTGGCAGGCATTTGTAATTGATAGGTAATCGGAAGTTTCTTGAAGCTATATATATATACATTTTTAACCCTGATCTTGCCATGATTTTTTATAACAAATTGTGCCACGATGTGACTCTCAGTCACTTATAAGAATCCCACAAATAATTCAAATATATTATTGTTTTTATTCCAAATTTAAATTCATTTATATACATATATATAAATAAGGGTTACGCATAAACGTGAAATATTGTACATAGGCCATAATAATCAAAAAACTTACGTTCAAATCTTAACATTGATTGAAAGTCGCTTCTTTCAATCAATTCTGATTGTATGGAGACCATAATGAGGAATCAAACGTTGCTTAAAGGTAAAATCAATCAGGAACTTGTTCATCATGCTACGCATTACTTTAAGACGAACGCCACGTCAGAATTGGCACGGACATAGTTAGATAATGAGAATATATATTTTTAATGCGCCACGTTACGACGAAGTGAACTAATTTTGTCGTTACGATACCGTTGATATGATGAGTATCACATAAAAGCACTTGGAGAGTAGAATGCGAGAAGCTAAGTGTACTAGTTCTAAATTAATTGCTGTAGACATCACGACTTGGTGGATAAATGTCTTCTTATACCTTCTAAATACCTTCGGTATAACTATCAACTGAAAGGAGTTGGATAGTAGAACGCAATAAAATATGTTAATTATGGTGGGCACTTAATGCACAAATGTCTTGAGGAGTTTACCGAGGAAAACCCGATTTCCTGAACATTAAAATCTAAAATGGACCAAGCGTTTATGTGGTGGGTAGAAAGTGAAAAGAAGGAGAAAAAAAATAGTCAATGGTATCGGCTATCAAGAGGATACTGCCATGTAGCTCTTGTTACGAATTTCCGTTTAAGTGCCTTAAAAGTCGGTCGGTCTCTACGATGATTGAGCTTTCGGGAAACTTTAGATCGTGATATAAGAACACAACATGAAAAGAGAAACCGTAGGTATGCGAGACTCGGTCTTCGCCGTATATAACTTTCCTACTTGTTTTACCTCTGAAATGTTCTGGGAGTTGTTCTGTTCTTAATCTTTTGCCAGTCGGTATATGCATCCGTAAGTAAAGCGTGAATGGACATTTCGTTTTTGCATTTTCAGAATTTGGTTTCTTAGCATATCGACTAAATTTACACAAACAAATTTTATCACACAAGGAATTTTCGTGATTACAATGAAAACAATATATACCTTGGAGCCGATTTCTCCTTGCGAACACCATTGCTTAGACTGCGTAGACAATGGCAGCCCGATACTTAATTCTATTCATTTTCATTGAAACAGGCGTCGACGCAACCAAATGATTGTGATTAGATTGCCATCTCAAGCTCGTTAACTTTTCAGGTAACTTACATCTCATATACTGAGGATACAAGATATATTTTGCTTGGAGATCGTATTGGAACACATTCGAAAAGTCCTTATTTACGCATATACGTGTCACACGTCTTCTGTTTAATCAAGATCTGCTTTTCCGTTTACATCCGCGACCGAGCGATGAGAGTATATTCACTTTTTTAAATCCTGTTGGGACCATGTATCAAATTGGAAATCAATTGAAGCATGTTCGTCTGTCAGCCTCTGCAAACAAAGTCCAGGTTGTGTGAAGGAAGAATTCGCCTTCAAATTTTGTTGGTATTAAAAATAGAGCAATAAAAATTTCCATCTATAGAAAAAATAGGAAAAATCGCCCAATCAGTATCACAGAGTATCAAAAGTTTCTTGCTTTGTGAAGACGTCTGAAATACACCGACACATACGTGGAAGCATCAGAGATCATGTAAATAATGTGCATTCTGGATCTGTAGCAAATACTGAGTCGGTCGAGGTATGTCCTTCTGTCCTTCTGTCAGTGTAGATTTGTGAAGTTCTTCCGATCCAGAAACGCAGGTGTGGCCTTGAAATTTGCTAAAAACATTGGCAGTTATTGCCGGTAGATTGATTTTGAGAAGGCGAGAGGAGCAGACCCATAGTGCAGCATAGTCGGAAAGCATCCATGTTTTCAAAGGTGGAATAATTGGATTTTTTGTGCACACTACTAGCAAACTTCGGCAGAAGTAGCCATGAAAAATTTCGCGTACATTCTACAGTACGTATACGAAAATGGAAAAAGTTGGTCAGTCCCATCCAATGTTATAGGGTATCAAAATTTCATCTTTTTCGATTTCTGTTTCGTTTACGAAAAAGGTGACGGGTAGAGACGATTCGCGCATAGCAAACCATAATTTTCTTACTTGTCCCCTGTTTTTAATATCTATAGCTATGTGAAGGTCGTGAAGTAAAAATGCGTTGAAATTTAGTTTTAGTAAAAAAAAAACAAAATTTTTATTATAATTGTGTGGAAATAGAAATTCTTACAATAATTATTATTATTATTATGTTAATGATTTTTTAATGCTTTTTTTAAAATTTTTCAATTTTTTTCTTTTTTTTTGTTTTTGTTATGTATTTTGGAAAATTGTGGCCCCCCAAACCGTTTTGAAGAGACTGTCTTGTTGCTGTTGTTGTGTAGTGAATCAATATCGAATTTATGTGTCTTTGTGTGTTTACTTTTTTTTTTTTTTTTTTACTTTCTCTTTTGTTGTTGTTGTTGTTGCTGTTGTTGTTGTCGTTTCATACATATTAATAGAAATAATTATAATCATAATGAGTTGTTCAGTATCTTAAGTAAATAGTTGAGTTTTTGCGAATTTCTTTGCTTTTTTTTTGTTTTTGGTTTTTTCAATATAATAATAATTTTAAAGGTATAAAAATATGTTTATGCCAATGATTACCGTTATATAATATACATATACATATATATATAAACATATGTATACATATATTAATGTTAATAATAATAATAATAATTAATT